TGTAGCTTTCTAATCATTTTAACGTATACTGACCGGCGTACGCTATCACAATGAATAATGAAGTACAATATTATGCACGAGCAGATTATTCTAATATTTATTCGTAATCTTCCCAAATATTCCACGGAAAATTTCGCGGTAAAGCGGAATAAACCACTTTAATATTAAATGTTTTAAGAATCGAAAATAAAAATAAATATTATAACCATTTAATCGATTATGATTATAATGTATAAGCTTAAAGCCTCCGTCGCTGGTTCGTAATTATTGCAAACAGCATTATGTTATAACAAGGTGAAATTGGCGAAATGGAAATCTTTTCTGACTAGTGAAATTTAGTAACGTGTCTCACTATAACATGTCCACGAGAAGACAGACACATACATGTAAATATGCACACGCTCATAATATAGCAAATCGTATAATCGGTTAAAAGGATAATTTAAAGGTTTTATTGTTTTATTCTCACCATCACGGACGCATTACTTTATACATAATTTAAGTAGTTTCTTATTTTAAAGTTTTTGACTGAAATATATATCATTTTCTGCCTACTTTCATGCTCCATCGTTTAAAAAGTATTAAGTATTTAATTTCAATTATTAAATTATAGACAGATATGTATATATCATTATAATAGCGTAATGTTAGTTATTGATTGTGATCATCGATTTTTTTTTCTTAATTTTTTAGATTTATTATAAAAGATAAAAGCCATTAAACCATAAACTAATTTGTATGCTGAAAAATCTTGAAAAAAAAAATATAATTACAATGTTTTACATTATTCATCAATAATAACATTATTATTATAAATTAGAATTTAATCATTTAAAATTGTTAATTGATAATAATTATTAATAATTATTTATTGCTAGAATCAATTCGTTTTATTTTATTATTGATATACACATTTTTCCTACCGTTTTCATATACACTACAGTGAATAAAAAATAATCTTAATAACAAACTGATAAAATGTAATCTCAAAAATAGAAAACTGGAAGAACATAGTATGCATTATAATATATAAATTATTATGTATTGTTATTATTACAATAAGATATATATTGAAAAATATAATTCAATATCATACTCACTAGTGTAAGATAAGTATAATTTACATATGGGTAAGAGTTATCAACATTTAGTAAATACCATTAAAATGAATCATGCATTGTTCATTTTATTATTTAAACTTTGAATGCACCTCGTACATTTTTCACCAAAGAAACCTGAAGATGTTGAGTATTCATACCTAGATAGAAATTAAATTATGATCATTAAACATTACTCATAAAATAAATAGTTTACTAACTAAATTTAAAACTGTTTATTTCTGTTATTTCTGTTCAATTTCATCAAAATCGTTCAACTTTAGTGAAATTAATTATGATACCTAAAAACTGTAATTTTTTTCAACGTATTTTAAGTAACAACATAATTGACCTATGTATTATATATATAATATCTAATTTTGTTTGCACAAATAATTTTTAACTCCTCTGTAACGCTCATATTCTTTATTGTATAATTTACATATAATTACATTATTAGTGTAATTATCATAGTATTGCACTATATAATTAATTAATTAGTTCAAATTCAAATTAAATAACTTATTTTAGAATATTCTATAGAAGTTAAGGAAATATACATTTTACATTATTTTAATAAAAAAAAAAAATCATGTCTACCTTACAACGAATTCAAATCTAGAAAATTGGTAAAAATGAAAAATATTAATATGAACTAATAAAATGGCTAATACTCTAGAATGCAAATCGATAATTAGTTCGGGTAGCGTTATATGACTGAATGTAACTTTTTTAAACAGAACGCTTTATTATAATCATAATTTTGACTATATCGTAGGTGTATGCATCTCATTTTAAATGTCTTTTTAAAAGTATGCGGTTACGACATAGCCGTCTTTTTAATGATTTTAAAAATCCTTTAAAACATTATTGAAAAAAATTGCGATAAAAAAGAATGAATCATATTATAAACGATAATAACACACAAATTGTGTTACACAATTTTTATTGAGTTATTTTTTTATTTCCAAAAAAACATTGGAAAACATACAGAAAACTTATTTGCCCTAAAACATCAAAAGTAAATAAAAAGCAAGACTAATTTTTTTCTTTATCTTACCATAATACGTCTAAAAAGATATAGTGTAGCATAAGTAGTATACTGTTTATAGATTGCTACCTTAAAATTAGTTATTATAAGATGGCTACTATTAACTTTTTTTGTTATCTTATGCAAATTTATTATATGAATAATTTACATACCTGAAATAGTTATAGATTTATGAATCGGAAATCTAGAAAAATGTTTTGTCGAACACTTAAAAATGATCTAAGCCGTAAAATCAAATAACATTTTAAAATTATTTAAAAGTCGATAAAACTCCATCCATACGAATGACATTTCAACATTCAGTTTTAAAATTATTGTTTATTAATGCATTTAGCAGATAACGTTTTTTTAATGAAACTTGGTTCATGTTTTATACATCTTCTTTCTACTTCTTCGGTAATACATTCTTGCCTCCAGTTTTCCATCGCCGATGCCTATAGTCTCCAGTCTATACCTCCTTCTATTAGGTCTCATACATATTTTGAATAAAATAGTACTCGATTGTACATTATACTTGATGAAACATCCACGCAAATACCTAAATAGTATCAGAAATGTAGTCGAATTAAATTTAATTTGTTTGACCGTCAGTCAAGTTTATTCAAATAAGAATTAATTAATTGAGGAATACAAAAAACATATATTTGTCAATTAACTCATTCAAAAATATTATTAATACTTACAATTCAAAGTTAATGCGTTTAGAAAGGGGTTTAAAATCATGCCATTGTTATCGCATGGAACTGCGTTTAATAATTTGATTAATCGATATTACCGAGCTACGAGATAGTAATACACATATTTTATACGATATTAATCCTATGAAAAAACACTAACGTTTTTCTTTCTCAGTAATTCACAAATATTATAATATTATTGTAACATAATGTTTGTGCGAACAGCGACAAAGCGCTAAAATGTTTTATTTTATGATTTTTATATTTTTTTCCTAGAATACTCATTTAGAAAAAATGTTTTATTCCTTTTTCAGTTGGTTAGTTTCAAATATACTTAGAGTATATCGGGGTAGTGTTTGTTCGATGTTACCAATCGCTGTGGTGGTTAAATTTCAAAAACTTTTGCCCACGCACACGACTGATCAACTTATGCGTACACATTGTTCTATGCGCGTGAAACGAGTATCCATTTAGGCTTTGAAATTATTATAACCGCGGATGATTGGACACAGTGAATTTCATCGGTACGGGAAAAAAAAGTAATTTTTACTCAGTCGATTTCGACGTGTGTACATTGCTCGTGAAGCGTGTACGTGTACGTGTGTGTAACTGTGTGCGTACAGTTAAATGAACACACAACGTTTTAACGCGTGAACAATATACATCGAAGCCGTTACTACTATATGTGCTACATGGTCCCAATACGTGCGTACAGAGCGATTGTAATGCTTAATAAATTTAGTACGTATATTTCGTTGTTATCTTTTTAATTTTAAATTTTCTTCGCTTATCCCTAACCCATTTTCTTCTGCCTCGCGCGCTCGTCGTCGAACGCGCATTGATTAGTTTTTTTTTTTTTTTTATTTTAATTTATTTTTATCTCAAGCCGCGCAGACACACCGGCCGTTTCCCGCGACGGACCGCTCGCCGCAGGGCCCGAGATTCACGTGCCGTGCACGGAAACACGGAACGCCGAATTTCGTTCCACCGAAAACCGTTCAAACATCGCATTTCGTATCGCATTTATCGTTTTCAACAACACTGAACAACATTGCGCACGACGATTTCAGCGCGTCAGCAACCGCCCCCGCGGCCGTGCGTTTTGTCAACGGATCCTCCCCGGATTAGAGTACTTAATCAACGTGTACTCGACCCGTCGTGTGCTTACATTGGCCGACGTTGAAACAATATTTTCAGAGTTGTAGATTCCGACAACCGCAAGACGTCGCGACGTGTCGGAGCGAGCAATAACAACGCGCGTTCAACCGTACGTTTTCCACGGTTCGCCGTACAATTGTCCCGTTTTTTTTTCGATTTCAAAACGTACACCATGTTTTCATCTCTACCTTTTTCCAATAAACGGTCATTCGAGCCCAAAATATTGGCGCGCACGTACTCGAATCCAGTTGGTTCTACGGTATTCGGTGTGCAAATTGTGTAGTGCAAACGCGTTTCCGGATCAATGTCGATATCGGTATGAACTTTATTCTGAACTGGGTCACATGTCATATCGATATATTATAATGTTTAATCAAATTGCTTTCGTTTATACGGTTAACATTTTTTTTTTTTCGGAAAATTTAACTAATATTTTTCCCTCCTGAACCGTATGTTTTCCAACACATTTTTTATTTTTACAGCGCGCACTGCATAGGTTTTATCGAAATATTTTATTCACTATATGTGTTGTAGTTAAGTCGAAACGGATTTTTATTGTTTTGACACGGTGATTGAAGTTTTTTTTTTTTTACTTCTATCAAAATACCTATAACACCGTAGATTGTTTATTATTTCACTTATCGATTGCTTTACTTATATTATTTTTCAGTTCTGTATTACCGTCAATAGTAATTGATGTTTTCACTATTATTGATCATTTTTTGTTAATGGAGTCCGTACACGTAAAACCCATTTACTTTATCGTATGACGAGTGTGTTGCGAGCATAGTGAGGCCATCATACTGGTAAAATAACGTTGATCTAATAAAAATGCAATAACGGTATCGTTATATCACGAATCAGAGAATTACACTATAAAAAGTTACATATTATTATGTTCATCGAAGTTTTTTCAATTCAATCTATGTATAAGCTATTCATGTCGAACTTCATTTGACAAAAAAAAAGTAGTAATTATAAAAATAATAACCAGCTTTGTTTATCATTTGTTTTCAGGAATTGAAAAAGGTGGTCAACCACACAATATTGAATGACTCCGAATTGCAATTGAAAAAAATTTATATAGAGAGATGTAAACGTCTGCCGGCATTCGGTTGCAACCTGTATTTTGTCAAGGAAGTTCAACGTGGTAGGACAAAAACTAAGGTAATATAAAGCTATAATTTTATAACTTTTTTAAAATTTAATTTTGATTTCAATCAGTCCAGTTGAAAGTTGTTATGCTAATGGAAACTAACGTGTTTAGCTCGAAATCAATTAATTATTCAAAATAGCAAAATATTTCAATATTTTATTATTTCCTTAGTTTTTTTGATTTGCAAAAATTAAATATCTCGTATTTAATTTATCTTTTTTTTACGGATACGACAGAATTAAAGTGCTCCGTCAAAATAAAAATAAAAATATTTGAGATGAATACCATAAGGTTATAAATAATTACATTTTTTAAATAAACGATATCATAAACTTGAATTGAACCATATTTGTGAAAGATTAAAGCAATAATAATAATTTTACCGAACTGTGTAATTAATCATCCAATAGCTTGCAATTGGAATAAATCTCTATAATCTAAACATTTATGGATTTTTAAAAATGGTATTAATTTCTAAAAATAATTCAATACTAATTTCCTTAACTTAAATCAATACGTGGCCAATACTACTAAAAAATTAAAATTAAAATTAACAGAACATTTTAAAAATTTGAGTATAAAATAAAATGTTTCTTTTCATAAACTCTTAAAAATTACGAATTTTCCATCTAACCCTATCTAAAGAAAAATTAATGATTTTACAAATTAATAAATAATTTAGTTTTAAAAATTAACCATAAATCTATTCCGATTTAAAATTAGAATAGATTATTAAAAACATTAAAAACAAATGGCTATATACTAATGAATAATTTATAATATTAGGTTCTTTTTTTCCCCTTTATTTAGTATATTTTAACAATTAGGAATACATTAAAAATAATACTACAAAATGTATTTTACACTAATTAAATATTAATTAATTGATTCAGAAAATCAATATTAATATATATGATGTAATGCATAAATTGTTATATATCAATGAAACAACTAAGTACCTACATGTTGTATATTTGTTATTTGATTGTCACACCATTTCATTAGCATAATAATCACATTTTAAATTAATTGCTTGTTATTTTACAGTTTAACTATCCATGTAAAATTTTTTCAGTATAATTTCATTTTAGATTTAAAAATAATTTATTCAATGACAACTTTGATGCATTACGTATGATTAATACTTACAAAATATGTTTAAATAATATTGTAATAGGACATTCAACGATTTGACTCAAAATAATTATATGTTATCAAGTAAATGAATTGAAATTAAAATAAATATGATCACAAGATAATTGATTAAATAATAATTGAATAACAAACGAACTAAATATAATAATACAATTGTGAGAAAAAATATTACTCGATTAATATTACTTATGAGTTATAGCAGCTCAATTTAGAAAAAAAAAAATCATGTTTAAATATTAAGATGTATAATAACTAACAAAAATGTATTCTAAAAGTATATTTGTATACCAATTACACCATTAAAATAAAATTTGTGCGATAGGACTAAAATAATTAATTTAAAATAACAGCTTTTAAATATTTATCAATAATAAAATATTATTTGAAATCCTGTGTATGAAATAAATTTTAATAGTTATACTAATTAAAAAAAAATAAATAAATTTCAATTCCATTTAAATAAATACTGTTCCTTTTAAGTTAATGAGTTGTATATTTTAAAATATTATGTAGTTTAAAAAATGTATTATGAAACGTAACTTTTTACTAAAACAATTAACACTATTTTACTTATCTTCATTGTTTAATAGCAACAATGAAATGTTTTTATAACTAGTAGAATCCCTATGCTTTATATTTGTAATATATTTGTATATTTATCTTGTAACTATATATAAAATATGTGATATCTGAAATAGTAATAAATATTAACATCTAACACTCAAAAATTAATTTCTATATTCACAGGCTGCACGTTTGTTGGGGCTGAGTTTCGATAAAATTATATTGCTTGATAATAAAACCAAAATTTTATCCAAGTGTCAAAATACGCAAGACTTACTTCAGGTCAGTATAATATTAGTTTTATTTCAACGATTATATTAAAAAAAAAAAAAAAAAAAAAAAAAAAACCAAACAAAGTAGATATTATTAATTTTAACAAGGAAAGATAATACCAATTATATTGGTATTATCTTTATTATATCAACACTTCGTTGTCTTTTTTTTAAAAAAAAGGGACATATCGAATATTTGAATAAAAATCAATCAGATTAAAATTGCTATTTTGTTTTAAACCATTCCAGAATAATATCTAGACAAACTACAAGAAGTATATACTATACATTAGCATACTTTGGTGTTATCTTAAATTTACGCGAAGATCTGAATGTTTAATTAATGTTTTGTATTTTAGTTTACATTTTTTATAATGTACACAATCAACTTTGGGTGCTTAACAAAGGTCAATGGTTTCATTATAGTTTCTTTTCGAGTATTCCGAAAAAGCAGAAATATATAAAATAATGTATTTTTTATTAATAAATTATTTTCAAATTGGTAAATAAGTTTCACATTTTTTCGAATCCTATAATTAGATTAAAAATTAAAAATATAACATAAAAAATTACTCACAAATATTTATAAAGTAGTGAATACTAAATAATTTACTTTATCATTTAAACTAGAATATATAAGTTTGAATAACATAGTAAATAAACTTAAAATTATATACATTATGATTTAACATTTTCATACAATTTGGTAATAATAATATTTCATAAAAGTTGTATGCATTTATTTACTATTTATTTTAAAGTAGGTACAATTGCAAAATGTTAAGGATAATTTTAATTTAATCTAATTTGTTTATAGTTGTATTTTTTATTTTAATATTCAACTATCACATCTTAATATGAAAATACTATTTTATGTATTAAAATATTTAGTTTCATTGTAATGTTCAATTTAAAAATATGTTTATCAACTGTAAAAATAATATTTTACGGTTTTGAAATCTAGTGGCAAACGGTGTTTAGAAGAAAGCGAAATAAAGTGTCTTTCGAATTTCGTAATTCTAAGTGGACTTTGGGCACACCAACTGAACGGTCATTACGTGATATAGATTTTGTATTGTTGCAAATTCTTCAAGAGATTGATAGCAACTTTTTAGAGCTGCATTCTGTTATTACACCACCTCAGCTCCCTAAACCATTGGGTGAGTAAATAATCTAAAATATATTTTATACCTAAATTTTATTTCATAACTAACATCAATGTATATTTTTTCATGTGTAAATAATCAAAAATTCCTTTTTCAAAATTGAAAATTAACAATTCCAAAGAAAGTAACAACATTTTAAAAATGTATACAACTACATTTTTATCTATAAAATGTTTGAATATGATTGGGATATTTGTTTTAAATTTATAATTAAGAAATATATGAACTTATACACATTTATAAAAAAATCATAATTCTATATTTGTATTTACGGTTTTTTATTTTTTACTAAATACTCGAAACAAATTTTCAAAAAAGTGTTTTGTAATGTTTAACTCGCAGTACACATTAATACTTGTTCCATTATACTGTAAAAACTAATGGCTATTTAATTTATAATTATTGTAAGTTTAATTTGTGTTTGATACGTGATTATTGTTTTCATGCAACAGAACTTGGAGAGATAATCCTGGACGACACTGTTGCAACTGAATTAGACACGCTACGGCGGATATTACATTTCCCCGAAGAGGTAGCACTACTGATAAGTAATAAAGAAAACGATTTATTCTACGACGTCCCGCCGCTGGATTTCTTGCGTCAAGTGACTTTAGATCAAGACGGAACAAACGTTTGTAATACGTCTGTTAAAAAACTCATTGACAGATTTAATGCAGTATGTTCAACTTATTTAAATATTTTCTTCGTAGCAATGCGCACATGTTAAAAATTATTTCTCGTCTGGGTAATAAAAATGATATTTTTGTTTGTTTTCATTTATATACGGGGGTAATTTGTTTTTTAAACAGTTGCATTATTTACGGCCCTTGTCTCCAATTTTCGCGTTCTGATGATGACCTGTATCGGTGTTCACATTAGCTTTATTTTTAGTAAACATTATTTTACGTTTATAGGTAAGCTCATGGACAACGCATCTTATACTTACTCGACCAACGTACGAAGACCAAAAAGCCATATTGTCTTGCTTGTTGAGAGTGGCCAAAGAATGTTGGAACATTGGAAATTTCAATGGTGCTATGGAGATTATAGCCGGACTCAAGTAATGCATTATTGATATTAAATGATGCGATAGTTCACATTATTTAGGAATTTAAATACTCGCTAAAATCGCTGGCATAATAATCATAAAACATTATAATATATACATTACATTCGTATCGTCGTCATCAATGAATGAACTAGTCAGGTATTCATTTTCTGGGTATTCATGTCTATTATTTTAGTCGGTATTCAAAATAAATTTGCATTATTATGTTTGTGAAAAACAACATAAATAACATAACAAAATGGTATATATAACATTTTTCTTCTCATTTCAAAAGTGAGCATTATTGCATTGTATTTTATTTGAATATGGAATCAGATGTTTTACTATCTAAGTTCCTATACATAATATAAAATATTTGTTGTCCTAACAAAGACAATTTTAGTAACAGTTAAAATCATACGAAACGTTCCCACGGCTTTGACACTATTTTATTGGTAATATTGGTTTTGAATATTGCACATGGTATAAAAATCACTATTGAAAAAAAATAATACATTATGTGTGTAGATAAATGTCATATGTTACAAAGTAACGAATTCTAACCAACAATTGATTCATTTTCGAAACTAGAGAGCGAAATTAGTTTGAGCAGGTTGACTATATGGAGATCATTGAAATCTATCAGAAGTTGGATTTATTGATCACATGATAAAAGAAAGTAAAGTAATTGTTTTGACCGGTCTTCAGTGATTATAAAAACGTTTGTAGGCCGGCTGAAACTACTGGTTTCGCTGATCACAAAATCAGCAATATTTATGTGCGATTACATGGTTTTATATTGTCACAATATATATGTGTGAGTTTGTGTTGCTCTTTAAACATATTAAAATTACAATATAAATTAATTTCTTCGTAATTTTATTTTTAAAATATATAATATATACATACGTTATAAAAATCACATTCCTTCACGAGACATTTTCGATATTTCCCGTACATTATGTTTGTTCGATGACAGTTTCAATAATGTTACAGGAATAAAATTCACTCAAATGTTTTTAATTTCAGGTCGGAGAAAATAAAGTTGTTCATGCAGGCAGTATTAGAAAACGAAAAGGTGCCTTTATTCCATTTTCTCACGGACGCACTGTTGTCAGCCCCACAGTACGAGAATATTCTGCAGAAGGCACTGGCCATACCCGACTGTCCCGTGATACCTTTTTTCGGGTCTTTCATGCGCGAAATAAGGAAGATCATGAAGGAGACGCCCAGCAATATCGTACTGACTGATCAAGATGGAAAGTTTCTGAGCGAGGTACCTAAAATCACGGTGTCTACGTACTAACGAATACGTCTAATGAATACATTTAAACGATAGAGTTCGATTTTTCCTTTTTTATTTTTCTTAACATTTCTGAAACACGGCAATAAGTATATAAAACTTTTAAGATAGGAATCTCTTAAATCTCTCACGATATTATTGAAAAATAATAAACCCGCAGTACATTTAAAACTCAGAATAAACTACGGTGTATTTCGAGTTCTAAAATCACTGTACTACTGTTTACAATATATACGTGCAATTTGGCGTATTATGCACATTTACTCGTAAATAATTTTTTTTTTTTTTTTGTGAACGTTATACGATAGCCAATCAGTATGGAATACACCTATTTATTTAAGAATAGCACATTTATGGGATATAATAACGTATGGTAATGATATTTTTTCGTCGTTTTGTAATGGTCGTCCTGGATTGATGTCTTCAATTGATTTAAATAAACATTCCATTGTGATAACCAGTAGTAAACATTGTAGGGTGACTGTATGTATGCACAGTTAGAGATGCAAATGTATGCTATCAGTTTCAGTAGTATTTATATTATTGTTAACAGACGGTATATTTAAATGAGCTGTGTTAAGTATTATACAGAACTGTATTTGGTAGGTATATACTTGACGTTGGACGATATTAAACTACATGCTGTGCTCTGTACAATTAAACGTAAGCATTAAAAATAATTAGTCGTAAATAACACGTTTCAATCAATATCCAAATATTAAATAGTCATTACGAAAATAAAAACTTCATTCATAATTCCAAATCTTTTTAAGTTATATATATTTTATAAGATTTGTTGTCATTATTATTATGATTATTTTTCTTTAAATCACCAAAAACATGTATGATTTACTTGCATTTGCGGCTCATCTGAATTAAACGTATTGCTCTTATTATTAATTTTAATTCTTCGTGTTGAAATTTTCATTAAGAATAGAATAATTTTTAATATTATTTTCAAATATAGAATGTTATTTGAACATATAGCTTTTAATTATTTTGTTGTTTATAATTCCGTTTCAAATGTATTTTTGAGATGAAAAATATTTTGTACCACAACTTTATGGCCAATCTTTTTGAAAAATTAAATGATTAAGATTTTTTCATGTATGTAAAATTAATTTACTAATATTGTAAAAAAAATATACAAAAAGAAATATTAACCAAGAAAATATTAATTAGGTTTATTATGTTACTTTTTTAATATTTAATTACTTAACAAATATAATAGCTTTGTGATAATTGTATTGTATTGCAACAAGTACCTACTTTATAATATTTAATATGATAAAATTAGCTTTTTATTATTATTACCTAAAATTAAGGTATGTATTCGTTATTTATCAATTACAGACTTTTTCCGAACATGAATACTTAGATGGATATACTACTATGCTCGGATTAGACGGAATCGTTAACATGGAAAAAATCTACAAGGTCCAAGCGGTACTGGAAGAATTATCAAATTTCCATCGACATTATTTTGATCGAAAAACGTATTCATCGAAGTAAGACAAATTTATTTATTTTCAATGTAATAGAAATAATTATCAAATTAATCATTTTGTGTTTATGCTTAAATCATATATTCATAGTCGTAACTAGTATATTTTGCATATTTATGTGACATGGACATATTGAACGACTATGATTATTGATGTTATATTTTAATTCGATTAAGTTATTAACATTTTGAACGAATTAAATTTACATAATACCATTAAACGTTATTTTTTCAACCAAAAAAATTATTTGAGTGCATTGAGATATTCGAATACAAATCGAAAATAACAAAAACATTACTATTTAAAAGATATAATAATTTTAAGTCCGTCGACAATGAATTATTTATTACACATAAGTTCGTGTGTATACTTGTATCTCGTATCTTTAATTTATTTACAAGATGGAAAATCGTTTATGTAACTATTAGTCAATCATGTTTATTTTCTAACTGCACCCTTCTGACCTTGATCAAATAGTCGATAGTTTCTGATTATTACATGCAGATGATTGAACAAAAATGTCATCGATTGTACGACGTATTTTATTCATCCTCTCAAATAAAGACTTAAGAAGACATCCGATACCTATCCGGTTAATGAACAGTTGGACGTATATTTTCGATATTATTTTTCGACATTTAAGACCGAGCCATTGGACTAATACAAGTAAAATCTTCCAATATTTAATAACAGGTAGCATAAAAAAATGTGACTCGTGTTCAACAAATAACATAATACTAAAAGAAGGACATCGGACACTGACCTTTATTCGTGAAGAACGCTAAACATACTAAATCATACATTACACTTTATTCACTGTAACGGTTTTGAGAATCAGTCGATTGAACATAATGTTAGTACGAACAATTATGAGAGCAAATATGAATTAGAAATTAAGACTTAAATGGATCAATTCGATTTTGAACTAACAGTTTATCTGAATATATTTTGGTAAAATATTAATAAATAATATAGACTTGTTCAGTTTTCAAGTTTATTCGTCTAAAATATACAAGCCAGTTTTTGTGAGTGAAAGAAGATTGCAGATAAGAATGACGAGTCAGTATACCATCTAACTATTGTCTCCTAACGAACAGTAATTACTATTGTATAATTACATGTAAAACAAACACAAAAAGTATAACATTCCATACGATTGACTACTTATCATAATTTTAAACATAAGACGTTTTACTCGAAATAAAATTATTATTGATTAATAAATATTAATAATTAAAATATAATAATATATTTAATAAAGAATCTAAAAACAAATGAATATATGAAGCATTCTTAATAGAGAAATATGGGTATAGTTTAACGAACTATTTTTGTTGTTCGAATAATTCGCATTAACTATTCCACATGTATACACAATTATACACTCACGACAAATCAACACACTTAAAAAGAATGAAACAACGTTCGAACGCATGTATAATAGTTTTGATTTATTCATAATTATAATTATTAATATTATAATACTGTATCTACCAAATTATTTGGTATAATGGATATGGAGTGTTCCGTTTTTATTTAGCATTTGTTTTTTAACTGACGCTTTTGAACTATTTGAACTGAACCCAAAACGAATCAAAACATTAGGATTTAAAAAATATTTTAATAACTTCATCTCCACCGTTGAGTTATTTACTGCTCGATAGCGTGTAATTGTAATAGTTTATGAATATCTGCAGTGAAAAATTGTTCATGTAGAATATCAGATGTCAAAGTTTATTTTGACCATGCTGTGTCAACCTTGAAAATATTCCCAATATCTTTATGAATGCTATACGCTGACAATCGGTTGGAATACCATCACAACTTTTGTTAAACTACTGAGAACATAATTGCACACATAGAATAACGTGCACAGCGTGTATTTCACCTGACCACTAAAATAAACATTACTATATACGTCAGACTAGTGTTATATGCATGTACTTAATAATAATATCGACGGATTTAAACTATTCAAAAGCTTAGAGTAATACGAAAATTGTAAACATAAAAAGACAATTTGAATTATAACAAATTTGAATTTAAGGACCAAAAATAGAAACTTAAATATTGTTTAAATAAATAACAAATAAAAAAACATGAGTCACATGTGGTGACTAGTATAGGTGAATTATTGTTTTTATACATTTGAAATGAATATATTATTGGTTTCCAAAATTATTCTGAACGAAGGAGATTGCTTGGATCAGTTTTTAAATCTTAAGACATTGCTATATATAGCACACTAAATTTTTACGAGAAAAAAAATCGCGTGTACCATAACATGGATGTAATTAATTTAATAATTTTAGTTAAAATAATTAATGCCAAAAACCTGAGTATTTAACTTATGTTTCGAATCCTAATGGTTTTTGACCGTAAATAATAATAATAATAATATTTATAGACAATAATATAACTAATATCGTTTTATCAAAATCTATAAACAATACTTGGGTAATCCATTAAACTAACTACTTTCGTCAAAATTAAATATTCTATTGGAAAGTAACTTTAAACTTTTCAATAAACTTTTTTTGACAGGCTACAAAGAAAAATTTGTTAAGAATCTTGTATTAAATTGTCAAGTCTTAAGTATTCAAATTAAAAATTTTAAGATATTTTTACTTAAAAAAAGATGACAGATTTTCGTTTTGTTTTGCGAGTTTTGGTAAAAATTAAAATTCAATCGCAGTTACGTATATACTTTAATAACATAATATTGTATTTTCTTTAGTTATATGTTTATTATGTCAAGATTATAAGGTTTTAAAAATATTATTGTATTATTATTCAAAACAGTATCGTGTATTTTATATCATATATTTGAACCTATTGTTAATTTATTTATTTATTATACCTAATGTTCTCATTATTTAATTTTAATAAGAAACTAATTAAAAAAATAATAACTACCCAGTTAATGAAATTGTTTAAATTGTCTTTATTTTTGTTTATTGTATGTTAATTTTAATTATTGCCTAAAAGGGTAAAAGCATTACAAGAGGGTGAAACACTAGAAGAAATTGAAGAAGATTCTGATCAAAAATATGTTCCAATCCAATCATTGGCTTATGATTACGGTGTTTCATTAATACCTCTTCCAAAATCTCCAAATTCCAAAGATTTTATAATTGGTCATCATGACTTACAGGTAATACCAAAAAACATTTATAAATCAATATTTCATATTTGATTTATGGTTTTCATTTAACATTTAATTTGGGTATACATTATTAATATAGTTAAAATAATTTAATAATTCTCTCTTTAGAGATCTAGCCAGTCTGAATTTGTATTACTTTTCTTGGTAGTTTATATTTACCGGATGGTTGGGAAATAATAATACGTTCTATTATGAAATCAGAATAATTGTTATTTTTTAGAAATATGAATGTAACAGTGGGTTTTATGCTCAATCTGTTCTTAATACATTTCATAGAAAAGAAATTAAATATCCACTTGTATAATATATATACGTATGAGACTTATAAATTCTGACCATATAATATTTAAGTATCGAAATATTATATTGTAATTAATTTTTTTTTTTTTTTCAAAAATGTATATATTTATATATTTATAGATTTAATTATAATTTACATAATCAAATTATGAACAAAAAAATTAGATTATATTTGTCATTAGCTTATTACGAATTAGAATTATTAGGTAAGTTTAAAATAAACTATAAAAATAAGTAATAAAAAATGTTATTTAGATACTGCATCATGGTGCCACTGTTGTCAATTGGACTGCTGATGCTGGAAGCAACAGATCTGCTCGCATTTTCATGCGATTGGAGAGAAACTGCTCAACGTTGACTTGGGGAAAAACATCATGGAGTGCGTTGAAGAGAACTTCTGGCACTCCGGACTTTTCATTAAAAGCCGATCCTGAAGACTGTATACCTAACGCTCTTCGTAACAGATCGTCTGTAGATTGTACATCGGTTGTGGGTAAATTGACAAATTATTTTTTATTATTTTTATTATTTTTTATTATTTTTTAGTATTCGTTTAAATGCCATCGTAATTTCATTGCGCATCAATTGACCCCTTTTTTAAACGTCTCTTACGATTCATCAGTGTTCTCTTTAAGGGATACATATTACATTTAGTTTATCCACAAGTTATATCATAACGTTGTGTCAAAAATTTCTTTAAAATCAGATGATTTTTAAGTAAGTAATTTGTGATCTACGTAAAAATAAAAGCTCTGTTCATCAAAATAAATATAAAATTTGCGTTCTGAATAAAATGGTATTGATTATAAAATCATGTAATTATCTACTATTATAATTCGGTTGAATTAATATTTTGTTGTAAGTTGACCTCCTTAGCTCATGCTTAACTAAAAAAACAACTAAAGTTGGGTTATAATATGAAATTTAAAAACTACTATCATAATAATTTATATATAATTCGGGGTTACATTCTCAATTAAGATATGAGTGTAGCTATGTTAGCGTGTTTTTTGCCCATTATTAATGTTAAGGCGATTAAGAAAAAATGGAAGTGAAGTTTTAACAATAAATTTTAAATTTATACCAACCAAAAACATATAAAAATATATATTTGAGTAAGAAGCTTCAAAATCAATCAAGACATTCGCGAATATAATTTTAAAGTACAAACATTTTTTTATCGTAGTTTCAATAATATGATTTTGATAATATAGTCTACTAAACAGCGTAAAATATGTTAAACTACAATCAGTTCGTAATTATTTCATCCTCAATCTAAATAATTGTTTTTATTAATTATCTTTAAAAATGTAATCACAAACGCTCTAGGTGTCTGCGTAAGAAACCAAATATTTTCCAATAATATTATTTGTTGATAATGAGTATTATTTTTAGTAAATCTTATGATTACAACCGTTAATAATTTGTTTAATAATATATTTTAATAACTAACTGATATATAGTACGCATAAAAAAAAATGTAGAATTATGTATGGCAATAGTTGGACCCATTTTATTTACGAAAGTTATCTAAAAGATTCTGTTTCGTAGTGCACCCTAGTGGTTAGTAATGTATATAATAATATCCTTGAATGTATATTAAATCAACTAATGAATGTTTTGATTCTTAAATATAATGTACATTACTATAAATTCATTTTTTAAAACGGTGTTAAATTAAATAGTATCAAAAGTATAGCAATATGTTTGTTTATAACTAATGTATAATAACATTGTTCATGAGTTCTTTGCACAGATTGACATTAATCTTGGACCTAGATAGCGCTATAGCTTAAAAGTTTACCTTCCACCATGACATACAAAACAAAACTGCTATTGAAAAAAATTGTAATTTTGATCTACCATGATAATTATTATAAATTCATATTGTACGGGATATAGTAAAATTATACAGCATTTGAACTCATATGAGAATTGTAAAAATTAAAATCAATCAGATAATTTTATTCATATATTTCACACAAAGAAAACAGTATTGTGGCGATCGATAAATTTTTTTTTAACTTTTTTAACACACTATAATACATAAATTGTGAATAGATATAAATTATTAATAATGATGATATACTAATCGAAAGTGAATTTCTTAAATAAAAAGGACTTCAAGAAGGTTATTTGGAATTGTCTTGTGTCAGAGACATATTTATTGGCAATGCAGTTGGCAGAGACCGAGTAAAAACTGATGGAATGACAATATTGAGAAAATATAATTTGCACAATTATTCAATATCGGAATGCTGTTTAGGACTTGTTTATGGAAATAATACAAGCGAAAACCGCATACTTTATATCTTAGCACCACCCATGATATTAAGGTAAAATTCAGATTAATATTTTATAAGTTCAAATATACTTGTGTGCAAAGCGATCTGTTACAAATATAGAAAAAGAATTTAACATAAATTATTTGTTTTCAGTAGGTGGATAAACAACAAACCATGAAAAATAAAAAATTAAGAATATTAAATTAATTTTTACTATTTTCTTAAACAGTTATAATAGATTTAATCCAAAAAATAATATATTTTATTTAAACAAAATTTGACGTTTTCTATTTTTTTTGTTAATCCAGATTTTAATATATATTAAAATTAAAACAAAACAGCTATTTATTATTTTTTACCTTCTTGGTATAACTAATAACAAATAGCATATATTCACTATCATTAGTTTAATTATATAATCATCGATGTATATTTACAAAAATCTGTTGATTCGCGGACACAAAACTTGTATAAGAAATATTATTTTTTTAATTTTTATTTGAAATCTTATAATAATAAAAAACTAATACCGATACTACTTGAAATCAATTAAAATATAAATCCTTATTAACATATAACAATTTAAAATCTGTATGGTGAAATACCCAACTTTTGAACGTATAACAATTTTTTGATATATTTAGCATAAGAATATTTTTGAAAATCATTGTTTTCAAGTTATTTATTTTTTGTTTTGGATTATAGTATTAAAATAGTATATATTTTTTTTTTACAAAGCACTTGGCATGATGGACTTCAAAAAGTGATAAAAAAACTTCGAGAGGTTATCAAAACAGTTGACAAACGTACAATATGGCTTAAAAACAACTATATACAACAATATCTCATTTCGGCTGGTCGTGGACCAATGACATCCGACGCAATACGCGTAAGCATTTAATTTAATTTGAAAATATCGTGAAAAATATGTAAGTTAAGTATAAAATAATTACAGACTTCTACAATTTTATAAAGACAAATATACATTTTTTGAGTTTTGGAAATGTCAAATTAAAACATGGAAATAATTAGATCAAAAAATTTTAATTTTATTAGAACTTTTTATATTTCGATTCGTATCCATTCAACGCGTAATGATTGAGAATTGAGATTTTTTTTTTTTATCGTCTAGTGCAAACAAATAATATATTCAGTTCGAATTTGAACGTTTTTGTTTGCTAACTTAATTAGATATTTATAGTACAAACTGATATGAAACTCACATATTATACTTTTGAGGATATGAAGTCAAATTTCACGTAACCAATTATTAAATCTATTTTACGAGGCATAAGAATTACTGTCGCTGATGGTTTTGGTATATTATCATTTGTTGTTCTAGTTATTCGGTGGTAGAGATTGGTCAATGGCCGGAAATGGGACTAGTAATCCTTCACCAGAGATAAGCATTGCTAAACGGGCGGCTTCCATGAGATTTAGGAAGAAGAAATCGGTAGCCAGCGTGTCGGTACGTAAATTAAAAACACTATTAAATTAAATACAAATTTTATTTAAAAATTAATCGTACTGGGTTTTTCGTGAAAATATTGTATACACAGAACGACGGATTGCTTAAACCTTACGACGTCAATGACTTGTACAACAAGTCTCGAGTGGATTTGACCGGCAGTGCTGGAAACTCGCCATCTACATCCCACAGTCAGACAGAAGATGATAAAAAACAGGAAAGCTTGGATAAAAACATAGTGGTCGAGTCATCAATTACCATCGGTGATAAGTAAGTATAATATATCGATTAAAATGTCATAATTTTCAGATAAATATATCTGTATTAACTTCGATGATATATATCATTCGATATCTAGATTGTGTAAAAAATATTTTTATTTCAAATTCCTACATATTCATAGATACGAATTTCAATACTGTCAAATTAATATATATTTATAACTATCCGATGACATTCTCAAAAGTTTTTCTATGATAATCATGAATATTTTAAAATATTAATCGTTGTTCTTAATATTTTAACCACTTTGAAGAACTCATTGTGCAATACGTTCGAAATCATAATTTTATTTTAAATTCAAAATTGTATTTTGATCATTAAACAATATTAAATCAATAGATATTAAGAAAATATTACTTCACTCCGAAAACTTATGTACTTATAAATTGAATTTATTTTACTGTGGTTTATTTATATAAATATTTATTAATAATAATATGAATATACCATACATCTTATTTAAGTTGGTATATTCTTATATTCTTATTCATAACACAAATTTAACTTAAAATAACATTTTTTTTAAATTTAATATGCTTTTGATATAATTGTGTTTCTGATAAACGAAAGTAAAAATTGAACATAAAATTTATCTTTTTATTGATTTTTTTGTTTAAGAACAATTCAAAAACCAAAAGAGTCAACTATGAGTGACATACATAATTCAACGATGACGCCAAATAATTTGCAATTGGACTTTGATGATTTTGGTTCTCTTTTTGACAGTTTCAAGTAATAATATTAACATCATTTCTAAAACATAATAATATTTATGATTTACATTTTGTTTTGATTTTTAGTTTGAGAATGCGAAAAGATCTTCGAGACATTTTTGATCAAATACGATTGAACAGCTATGGAACAAACAGACTAACGGATGAAAAAAATACACATAATAACAACAATAGTACAACTTTGTTGGTACCAAGAATTGCATCTGATCAACCTCAAAGTAAGCTGAAATCAATTTACTTTATGTTGTATAAGTATTTAGAAAAATAACTTAATTTTAAAATTACAATTTAATAATGTACCTTATATATAGGTACTATTCCTATGATTTTATTTAAGTTAATGTTAAATGTTTAATACATTTGCTTAATTAACTGAATCAAGATGCTTATATTTTTCGTGCGCAAAAAAATGTTTTCATTCGACCTCACATGAATAACAAATTATTTATAATGAACTATTTATAAATTATTTATAACTTTGTTTTTCGTTACTTTCGACGAATTTGTTCAAATTAAATTATCGTATTATTCTTTTTATCGAAAATAACTATCTACTTATATACTTCTATTTATTATTTGTATTAAACTTATTTTATCTTATTAGCTTCAAATGGAACAAGCAAAAATAGTGGACCAAACTTAATGCAACCAACAAGTACTGTTGTTCAAAAGAAACGCATATTCGATGCTATTGCTGCATCCAGCATTATATCAAACAGCTCTGGTGTAGAGACATCACGATCGGCGGCTACTTGGACAATTAATGAACTTATTCATTTCTTAGAGAATAAGCAGATGACACCTTGTACAGAAAAAGAAGCTCGTATATTGATTCAGGTCTGAAATATTTTTTAAATTACATTGAAAATTAATATCGATGACATATAAACAGGTATAAGTTTAATATATTCATGTTTCTCGGAGATTAAAAATATGAACATTTTATTTTTATTTATGCTTTCAATACTTACCATTATTGTTATGATATAACCTTAATATTATTTATTTACTGTTCATTTTTTATTACTCATCGTTTTTTTATACATATTTATAAAATATTTACTACTTTACGACTTAGAAAATATCTTATAGTTGTTATACTCATATATATTTATTAATTTATGTAAAATTAAGTTATTTTTACTTATAGACTCATGAACCCGATCCAGAAATCAGTGCACGCAATTGTCTCTCCTTCGAAGGATTCGCGAAGTATATGATGTATAAAGAAAATAGCGTTTACAACGAAACGGACTCAGTGATTATAGAATCTGACATGAACTATCCTCTGTCTTGTTATTACATAGCTTCATCTCATAATACATATCTCACGGGACACCAGCTTAAAGGCGAATCATCAATTGATCTTTATAGTCGAGTAAGGCAATAAACCAGCTTATAATTGTATTCAATATATTTCTGAACATCATCATTTAAATTATTTATTTATGAGTCTATTTATACCACTGTCAAAACTATGATTTAAATATACATACTATATTATTTATTGTATCTAAATTATTTTAATAATTTTTTATTTATAAAACATTTTTTTCATAATTTCAACAGTGATTTTTTTGAAAATATTTTAGTACGTTAATTATTGATTGTTTACGTAAATTAGTTTTGTCTTAAATACTTTCTCTCTCTCTCTATATATATATATATATATTATAAATAACATTAAATTTGAATTAAAGTACCCATATAATGAATCAAATTAATTTAATTCTTCCATTAGATTAAAATAATGCATTTATTGCTCTCAATAATCCACGAAATCATTTCTCAAAATATTTAATATGTATCTCGATGAGTTAATAAACAAAGCAGTGAAAATAAAAAATAGCTCTACTTTGTTAATCGTTAATTTTACTGTTCGATTATTAAAGTGTTTTTCAATAATCATATCATAGGTACCTATTACCGATCATTAAATTTTCAATAAACAATTATAGATGATAAATATCTTTAAGGGCAACTGCCCTTAAACTAATACATTATTAACTAATACATATTTTTTTTTTAGGTATTTTATTCTTAATGTATAAAATACACTGTTTACAAAAGAAAAAAATTACTTTCATTAATCGATCTCTATAAAATTTAATATTTTCATAATTGTTAAAAAGTAATATTACATTGAATTGAAATTGTACTAAGAATAATTTCAAAGTTAAAACTAATGAAATTAAAAGAACATAAAATAATTATTCATTCACTTATTGTGGTTGATACTGATCCGTATAAATTAACATTATAATTTTCACATGAAATCGATATCTTATCATTGTTGTTGGTTTTCAGGTGTTATTAGCTGGTTGTCGTTGTGTTGAGTTAGATTGTTGGGATGGTGATGATGGTAATCCACTGATCTATCATGGCCATACTTTTACATCAAAAATACCATTTCTTGGAGCTGTTGATACTATTAACCGACACGCGTTCGTATCATCGCCATATCCAGTCATATTGTCAATTGAAAACCATTGTTCGTTGGTCCAACAAGCTCGTATGGCAGAAATATTCGAAGTAATTGATTTTTTCAATGTTATGGTACCAAAAAGAAAAGTTATAATTAATTATCAAGTGCATTGATATATATTAAATTTTACTATTCTGATTTCAAGGGAAAAAAATATTTGCTCTATTAGGAAAAGTGCTGTTGTTATCAAAAATAATTTATTATTTTTATTATAATTTAACAACCTTTTTTTAAAATAAAAATTAAGTCATACGCATATTAATTAATAATTGTTAAATAAATCCTAAGTACATTATGATAATTTTAGTTTAACATTATTTCATTACATTCATCGTAATATTTATGAAAAACCAAAATAACTTCAGTTTTATTTTATAAAAGTGTACTTTACATGGATTTTACTAATACATGTTTGTACTTTACAGAACGTTTTTGGTGAAAAACTCGTGACGGGCTTTATGTTCGAATCGGATTACGAACCACAGTTACCATCACCAAATCAGTTGAAGTATAAGATTCTGATAAAAAATAAGAAGATTGCGTCATCGGAAACCGAAGTGAGTCGACCGAGAACTAACAATAGTATAACGAAAAGTTCGCAAGGAGCCTCGACTTCGGCGGCCAGTCATCATACCAATGTTGGACCACATAGAAGTAGCTCTACTAGTGCAGGTACAACTACTAATGACGATGTGATTACCATCGTCGAGGAAGAAGAAGATTATTATAATGATGACGACTATGAAGATTATGACGATGAAGACGAAGTTGATTTTAAAAGTAACGTTATGCGCAAATCATTATTTCCGATTACTTGAATCAGTCTCCGTTAAGCTTAAAATGTATTTTTAAATCTTTTTTTTTCAACTAAATATTCAGATCGTAGCCAGTAAATATCAAATATTTAAACATTAAAGTTCATTTTATTATTCTGTGATTTAAAAAAAATAATTGTCCTTTGTAATTTGAAGTATTAAAATATTAATGTAATACTCAAATACAATGTATGTCAAACATAATAATAATAATTAATAATGATTATATGCCTAATTTACGTTGGAATAATTAATTCCATCGTTTAATTGAATATTTATGATTTGTAAACAAAGAATTGTATTTAATTTATATTTCTAATTAATTATTTAATGTAAAAATAAATACGCAAATAGTATATTTATAGAAATAAATAAAAATTTAGCCTCGAGTACTATTATATTAGTAAAGTACAATCGGTTTAGAATTAAAAATTCGTCATCAGGTATATTCAAAGTTAATAAAATTGTGTCTGAATATGAAAAAATAAAGTAAGGAATACAATGATAAAAATTAATTATTTTACTTAGAAATAATTTATTTTAACATGAGAGATTATTTAAAATAAGTTCTTATTAGTACTTATTAGATTTATTAGTACTTTGATTATTATTATTAGTCTAAAATGTATTGATATAAGATATATTTTTTAAAATCGGTGTGTACGTTTAAAATATTATTAAAATAATTTTTCTTTATTTCGTCGTGAATGTGTAACTCTTCTAAAACTGGGATAATGTAAATGTTATTTTGGGTATTTAATATTTCTAGGTCTGTATTGATATCAAAATGTTATCTATATATTTTATTTTTAAATTTATATTTGTTTTGCATACATAAAATGTATTGGAGTATTAGAGTGTATTTATGTATATCAGAATTTTCAAAAGAAGGAGAATTTTTAGTCAAGTTCTATTATTTATGTATTTGAATAAATTATTATTAGTTTTAAAAGCGATTTCTACATTATTAGTATTATTGCTTTAGAATTTTAGCGAATTTGCTAGTTATATTATTAAGATAATTCATAACAATAGTCAACAATAATATTTGGTGATTTGTGATTTATTTTTTCTTTATTGCGTTTATGCATTTCTTTTAATAATATTTAAATTGAAATTATTCTTATGGGCTATATTATAGATAATATTAGTTTTTCTCGGTGTTTCCTTTCTTTATTTTTTCATATTCAGTCGCAATTTTATTAATTTTATATTTACCTGATGATGAATTTTTAATTCGACACCGGTCGTACTATACAAATATAATAATACTCCAGGCTAAACTATCATTAATTTACTTATTTCTATACATAAACTATTTGTTTATTTATTTACATATTAATTTACGAGTATTAATGATTTATTAATTTTTAATTTTAATTTTATTACTTTATTACTAATTTTTTAACTATACATTTTTGTCGAAAATTAATAAAACGTTAAGCTAACCAATGAAATTAATTTTAAATTTTTAGAAATTCGGGTGGATAAGCTTGGCAGAATTCGATATAAATTGGGCTCAAAATCGAATGAAAAAGGTACCGATGACGACGCTTCTAAGAATAAAAAGCACAATAGCCAGATTGCTAAAGAACTCTCCGATATAGTGATATACGTCCAGGTAAAATAAGTCTTCATCTGCAATCTTAATGTTCTAGAGTACATATATGATATAAGATATTTATTACGCCATGAAAATTAGCCAAAAAATGTGAGTTTAAGTCGATCTCCTACGTCATTCGGGATTTCATACTTAAAGTATTATCAGACAGTTCTAAAAATTTATAATTATTGTTATTTTTCATAATAAAATGTAATCCTGTACAAATTATTTCAGTAAAGAAATAATAATATTAATGACAGTAAAAACATCTAAAACAATTATTTGTAAATTACAAATTGTAATATCGAGTACAATTTTTAATAATAAAACATTAGATAATCAATTATAGTTAATTTTAGTGATTCAATAAAAAATAAATAATTATTTTTAATATTTTTAATGATAAACATTTGATTTCATATTTAAAACCAGAGGTGTTTAAATGTTCTAAAAAATATTGTAAGTGATAATTTTATATTTTTTGATAGTCCTTTGTTAATGTATAAAATATCGATTTCGTAGTATTATCACCCAACCAGACACAAACCATTTTATTCATCGAACTTCTTGTCTATCAAATCAACCTCTTTTGTAAGGTTGCAAAAGTATGATATACCATTGTTGATAAAAAAAAAAAGTTTTAATCAGAAATTTAATTTAGATGAAAATTATAATAATGAATGTTGTCGTTTTCCTCCAAAATCGACCTTTCAATTACTAACTTGGTCGGTTTCTTGTCGAACACAATAATACATATTTTCATTTTTCATCAGCGTAAAGTAAAAAAAATAAACAATCTTAACTTATCATTTATCCCATCAAATAAAAAATATTTCTTATACATTTAAAATAGTAATATTTTGTGCTCTATCATTTAATCAATGTTTCCCATTTACATTTCAATACGTATCTGTACAGTTTATAAAAAAAAAAAAAAATAATCAAAATGTATAAACAAAAAAAACTCTATAAAACTTAATTTATATTTATTTTTAATTATCAAATAGAATTATCGATATATCTATAGTAATAAAGAAAAAAAATATCTCCCAAACAAAATAATAACTTTGATTTTAAAATGTACAGCTAACGGTTAACGGTTACGTTCACGTATTTTCGTATATTCAAAATTCAAAAGCAGTAGTAGTAACCAAAGAAAATAAATTAAAAGAAAAATTGATAAACCTGGGGATAATGTCATCCCTAAGGAAATCGATTAGTAAAAAAATTGTTGGTTCCGTTTTCTTTGAAAACCGGAAGTATATATTGTGCCGAGATATACTATTATCATGGGGTAAAACACGATTGCATACGTTCACTATCGACGATACCTTTTTAAGCTACATGATTCCATACGATTTTACCTGATTTTTAACTACACGATTGCGTACGAAGTTTTAAACGTTGATACTAATTTTCATACCGGTATTGATGTATACCACTTGCCTATACGAGAGAACATAAAAAAGTTATTAAATACTTTGTATTTAATTGCTTTTATTACCTATGTTTATTATTAATGATATCAAATATATCAGATATAATGAAATTTTGTTATTTCCGTTATATTATACGGTATTTTCCGAATTTCAGTAAAAGTAGTAGGTTATAGATGTCAAAGAATCCAAATTTAAGCATTTTAAATTAATTTCATTCAAATAAAAACTGTCGATTTTATTTATTATTTTACTATGATTTTTTTTTTTTTTTTTTTTTACTATTATAGAACTGTTAATATTTCTATATATATTATTTTTATTTCATAGATATAATACGGTGAAATTAGTAAATTTGACAACGTTGCATACAATTTCATACGCAATCGTGTTTATTTATTTTTCTTACCCACATTTTTGTTACCTATCTACAAACGTACGCAACCGTGTTCTACCCTTATCGTGGAGTCAGATAACGGTCGATTTCGCTGACATACCTGGTCGGGAACCTGAACGAAGAATAATATGCGGTCGTGGTAACACAACGGGAACCGTGCGCTTGAAACACGTGCGCGAACGATCGGTTTGGAAAACATATGCGACCAAACGGTCGGTTACCGCTGTGGGACGCGCGACGGATGGCCGCGGCCATGCGAAACAAGCATTAACGACTAAACATGATTTCAGGCGATCAAGTTCAGCGGCTTGAACAAAATAAGCCCTAGCAACTCGGTAAAGAACAAGCGGAAGACGGACGGCGTGACGGCCGGTATGTCGTCCACGATGTCGGCGGGCACCGCGGCAGCGGCGTCGCCTGCGGTGGCCGAGCACCATCACGGTCGCGGCGGGCCGTCGGTGAACGTGCACCACCCGTGCTACAAGTGCTCGTCGCTGACGGAGAGCTCGGCGAAGAAGCTGACCAGGAAACGGCCCACGGAACTGCTGGCACACTCGGAGACGCAGCTGGTGCGCGTGTACCCGGCCAGCATGCGCATCGACTCGTCCAACTTCAACCCGCTGAACTTCTGGGCGTACGGGGTACAGATGGCCGCGCTCAACTACCAGTCGGACGAGGCGACCGCGTCGCACGTCAATGCGGCCATGTTCGAGCAGAACGGCCGGTGCGGGTACGTGCTGAAGCCGCGCGTGATGCGCGACCCCACGCACGCCTTGTACCGGCGGTTCGACCCGACCGAGGAGTGCTTCGACGGGCTGAACCCGATCTGCTTCAGCGTGTGCGTGGTCTCGGGCCAGTACATGTCGCCCGCGGTATGCAGCCAGCGCGTCAGCGTGTACGTGGAGGTGGAGGTGATCGGCATACCCATGGACAGCATGAAGATGCGATCGAAGACGGTGTACTACAACTCAATGAACCCCGTGTGGAACGAGACGTTCACGTTCCACGTTCTGTTCGACGAGCTCGCGTTCGTCCGGTTCGTCGTCGTCGAGTCCGGCACTAACCATACGCTCGCGCAGCGCGTCGTGCCGCTCAAGTGCATGCGCTACGGGTTCCAGCACGTAAACATGCGCACCACGCACAACCGGCCGCTGCCGCTCACCACGTTGTTCGTGTACACGCGGTGCACGGACGGCGGCCCCGACGGACTGGCCAACCACCATCGGGACTCGGTGACGCCCGCGCCCGACGCGGACAACGGCACCGCGCACCACTACGGGCCGATGCCCAAGCGCAAGACGTTCTATGTGATGGTGTACGGCGTGTTCTCCGAGAACACGTACGTCATGTTTAAGGTGACACAAGACAGCACGGCCACGGACGTCATCAAGCAGGCGATAGAAAAGCGGGACGAGAGCGACGACGAGACGTCGTCGTACGTGCTGCTCGAGGAGGTGGGCTACAAATGGGACGGGCTTAACGCCGCTCCGGCCGACCGATCGCCATCGTCGTTGTGCGCGCTCAGCGACTGCTTCGGTTGGGTACCGACCAGACGAAGGAACACCGAGCGCAAGCCGAAGAGGAAGACGTACCGGCGCATCGGATGGAAGAGCGGTGACGCGCAAATGGTCCAGCGCGTGTTGGCGTTCGATGAGAAGCCGCTACAGGCGCAGTCCGGCTGGAAGGGTGACGGGTACTTCGTGCTGAAGAAGATCGGCGACGACCCGAGCAGCCGGTCGTGGCTCATATCGCTGCAATCGCGCAAATCGAAGAAGGGTAAATCGTGGGATGAAATACAAACATTCTTGGTGTGCATCTACAACGTGTCCGAGGAACGGTCGTACGTGATCCTCAAAGTTCCGATCAGCTCGACCGCACAGGACATAGTGGCGCAAATATTGGTAAAGGCTAGGCGCATGGAGAACCCGATGCTGTTCATATTAGTCGAGGAACAACAGTGGACCAAGACGGACATCAGGTACAGGGTGTTGGACGACGACGAACTGGTGTACAAAACGCAAAACCAGTGGTCCCGGGTAGGCCGGTTCGTGCTAGAGGAACGGTATTCGCAGGACGACCCACCGGAAGGCTACCAAGGACTGATGTCTATGACGTCACACGCCATCCGTACGTTTTCGCGTGTCTGCCGACTACGACGAGGCTTGGCCATGTTTGGTCAGCGATGGAGGGCTTGCGGTCTTCCAATGTTTCCGGGTCAGTTCACGCAGCGCCCTGAGAACTTCCGGGACATCGTCATATGGGAGGCGGCCCAGGCCCACAAGAAGATGTTGGCTAAGCGCGAGCGGACGTTGCGTGCCAACCTGGAGAAGGGTGGCAGTGGTGACGGCGGTGGCGGCCTGGAACGTGGTTGCGACGACGAGGGCAGCGGCGGCGAGGATGCCGAAGAAAGCACTTCCACAGGGTTTTTCAAGGCACCGGCCCGGTTGTTTGGTTTTTGGAGGTCCTGACATAGGCTTTTCTGCTTCAGAAGAAGAACACGTGCCCGACAAATCGTGGGCACAATGGTATAAATGAAACGATATATTTTATAGTATTTTATCATAATACATACGAACATAATTCACGTATAACGAGTATATAATATACATAATGTACTATTAACCGTTCCAGATATGGTAATAATACCCGGAACGTTTGCTTAAATCCCGGTCCTATCCTGTATTTTAATCAAAAAACCAAAAAAATAAATACATATATTTTCCTCCAGTCCGCTGGGTGTTCTTCATTTCTCTTCACAGGGAATCGCAACATTTTCAGGGTGTATGTAAATAAGTCATTAGTACTTATAATATTTCCAATAAAATTATATAATAATATTATATAATATTATACTCTGTTCTTTCGTTCATTTTGCGTTTGTTTAGTTTGTTTTGGGCTTTTAATAATGGCTTTTATCTATGTTTATTAAAACTTTTATTTATTGGATGAATACTCTCAATTATACTATACTTAACTATACGAAGCTATTTATTCAATGTAGCTACAGACCAGAATTGTAACAATTTGTAACTGAACTACAAATATTTATGTCAAAAGGTATTCTCCATTTTCATTCATTTCGATAACTAATTTTCAATTATACCCTAAACATTCAGTTGTATAAGATCAATGATTGAAATTAAATAATTTATCAGTTTTGGTGAATACTCAATAGTTCTCTTTATCCTTTATCTTGTAGTCGTATATTATAATATTTAACCATTATATCATATTAATACCATTTAGTTGTATAATACTGTCATGTGTGTAAGTCCTAGAAAAACCTCCGTGAATCTAGTCATTTTATTTGTACAATTATTAGAGTGTATTTACATCATTATTTCTATTTATTATTTAAGTGTTATATTATCAATCTTTACTTTGATTTTCTCATTAAAATATAAACATTTCTGAAACAGTATTTAAAAATGTACGTTAAAATTATTATTTTAATATAGGTAATAAGTATCGTTATAATTGTATAGTATTTTATCATAATGATTTATACTATTATTATTATTATTATTATTATTATTATTATTATTAATATAATATTTATTATAACTATTATTATTACCATCGTCATGATGACCATTATAATATAAGAGTAATTTTAAAAATTTATATATTTAATATCCTAAATATTTTATAAGTTTACAGTCAAAGTCGTAGAAACTTTCTTTTTTTTGAAAAGGACACTCATATCATCCAACTCTTAAGTAGGTATACATAGACGATAAAAATCCATAAAATATTTATCATATTTTAAGAAATCATTTAATGGTTAACCCTTTTTTGAAATGAACATATATTTGTGATACAATATGACGAATTAATCTTAATTTTTACCCTGAAAATCACAAATATTTATCGCTAATATAATAAAATATACCATATTATGGCCGTATTATACTATTCCCCTCTTATCTATAGCACGTCAAATGACTGTTATCGATTAAGGTAAAAATATGAAATATGAAATATGAATATTGCTTATCAGTTATCCTTAGCGCGATGTTCGCAAAATATATGTTTTTCGTTGTATTTTTTTTTTTTTTTTTTTTAAAGAACAACTAGTATTTAAGATTTTTCTCATTTATTGATAATTAAATCAAATATTATAAAAATTAAGTGTCTAGTTCTCATAGTACATTTTTAGTTTATAGATAACTATCTAGAACTATTTTAAGCTGAATTGGTGTTATTTTATTCATTATCGGTAAAATAAGTTTTTTTTTTCTTTGTGTTCTATATATCTAATATACTTTGTAATATTATCATCACAAAATATAAGTTTATTCCTTCTAAATTTATTTGTTAATCAATTATAAAACACATATCTATAATCACATCATACCATATTAGTTACTGTTAAAACACATTTCACGTATGTTCTAATATTGAAATGGCTTCAATTTGAAAAAGCAAATATTTAACTGATTTGAAAACATTAAGGCTGAAAACGGATTAATTTTCGGAAGAGATAAAGCGTCGTTTGCTATTTTATAAATATCTATAAATCAAATTATGATAACCATTCTGATCACAATAAGTTCAAAATTGCAATATAATAGTACTAAGTGCATTTGATATTATTATTAAAAGTTTGAAAATATGGTTCCTTTAATTATCATTAACTTTTATTAATTTTATTTTGTAATTCATTTAACATTATGATCACGGGAAAAACAAAAATGAATCGCATTATACAATTCTCTGGTTTACTTAAATTGTATACCTACTTAATACTATCACTACTAAATTATAACAATACCGGCTGTACATTTAAGTTAGATGTTACATACTATAACATAAAATGCAATTGTAGTTTTTTATTTAAATGATTTCTAACATCACGATGGAAAGAGTAAATTTTTTTTTTTTTTGTTTTGATAAATATCAATAACATTTGCACATCAAATTTGTAAAGGATTAAATAAAATCTTTAAATGATTTAATACACAGACGATTTTAAATCATACAATGTCTCTAGATCTTTTATATTTACTGATATCGATTTATGTTATACGTTACGTGTTTTCAATATATTTCGAAACAATTAGAAATTGGGTAAGGTTCATAGTTTTCCCACGGACAACGTGTACAGTATATTTTTCATTGACGCACTAGATAAATGCACATAAAAACCAAATATGGTATTATTACATCATACCTTGTTTTGACATGTAATTTACTTTACATAATATTTGATACTAACAATTATAGTTACGTACAAAAATATCAATATTATTTTCATAGGCGCAGCGAGAGTGGTGCCTAAAACTTAATTCTATTTTTTTATACCAAACGTGTAAGTTTTAAATTAAAATCAAAAATTAAATAAGGTATGACTAAAAATAATTTAGTGGGACCGATTGTTATCTACACATGTAATCGTTTTGATGTTTTATGTGTTATTCAATGATCTATCTGTAGATTATTTGAATTACGAGTTTAATACTAATCGCTTTATATTTTTGTCCACCTTGATTCAAATCTTAGCTACGCCCATGATTATTTTATTATAATATTGCTCTCAACTTATTTTGAATTTAATTCGCTCACCAAATAAAAGTCAACTCTTAGAGCACAATACATAGCAAACGTATTGTATTATTCAAAATTAAACACATATTCATTATTTTAAACTATGATACTTTTCTTTATTTATTTCGAATTTAAAGTCTGTAGATTCTATCCATAAGAAAATATAAATCAATACTGATCCATATTAGGTTATTTAAAAGTTTTATAAAAATATTTACCCAAAACGTAACTATAATATGATTGTAACGTAGTTACAGAAAGGCATTTTTGTAACGCTGATACTTATATTTTAACTTATGTTTTCTAACTTTGTACCTATGAGATATAACCACATACCATGATTTTCCTACCAAACATTCATAATATGATTTAAAATTTGACTTTGATATATGAGTATGTGACAATGACATATTATAGTTAAACATTATGTGTTGTTAGTTATATTGAACGGCCCTGAAACGTTGCCAATTGTAGTTTGCATATGGGACGTTGAAGATTTGATTGTTGATGTTTGAAACAGAATTGACCTTATTGAACTTTTGGTATGGCCGTTGGTCTTCTGGCTATTTAACAATTCAGATACAAATTTCCTATTGCCTGTTTAAAACAAACAGTCATTATTTATCAAAACTACATAAAAATAACATTTAATTATTAATGATATGGACATTGCACACCATAGAGTAGACGTGATAAAAAAAATAATAATAAATTGGATTTTTATCATAATTCGTCATAGAGGTGCAATGCGAATAATCAACAAATTGACCTACATAAACACAACTGAATTTTATAAATATAGGTTATTTGTGAAATCATTATGTTAATACAAAAATGTTCAATTACATAAAATATGTCTGTATTACCATATTATTTACTTATATAACATAATATTCACAGTGTGATAGGTTTTAAAACATAACACAACAAATGCATACATTAACATTGTAGAATGGTAAGAAAAGATCATAAATATAAGTTAATACAATCAATTATATTATATTTCAATAATGCATTTTTACAAAACACTTTATTTTAAAGTTAAGTATAACAAATTTTGTCTTGGTAATAAGAAGTACTAAGTCACTCTACAGTAAACATAAAAAAAGTAACGTAATAAGTAAGTTATAAAAATATATTACAATAATACAATAAGTGAATTGTTTATGAGAGATAGTCGGAGAATAAGTGAGAAAAAGAGAAATGGAGAAAAATGTCACTAACATACGGTTATTGTATTGACAAAATTCAACTTTTTCGTAAAAAAAAAAAAGAGAAAAAATCAATAATTTTTTTAAATTGTCTTTAACCATATATTGTATATTTGTATTTCATACGAAAAATGTAGAAATGATGGATTTCTAAATAGTTAACAATAAGTAATAATAAATAATAAACAGCTAAATGATTTCATAAAGTTTGAACGGTTTGATAATATACTCTACGTGGATATGGTTGGATACTATACGTACCCCTAAGACTCTTTTACATTAAGTTACTTCAGTGTTTAAACAGAAGAACGCTTTTCAAGTTATACAGCACATAAACGGCCGTGTAAGTTTTCTGAAAACCAATTAAATACAAAATTGATTTTTCGGTTACATTGGGAATAATTTCAAAGTACCAGTATTTTTGGTTTATTCGATAAACAACGTTTTCTTCTGTGTATTAATTATCCTAAGAAAAGACCAGATATTATAATTTATTGAACAGATAATAATTATAATACAATATTCCACTTCACTGATAGAAATTTTGTTATTATCCAATACTCAGAATTAATAGTATAAAATATAATAAGTGTATGTATTTTTTTTAAATTGATTTTGGATATAATTTACCCGAGTACTCATGATCAGCAGCGTTGACGAAAGCATACTCGCCACTGGCTCTTTGTAAGGCCATTACTATCCTTTCAGCATTAGGCGTTTGCGTGAAATTACCAGTATGTGGATTCCAGATGAATATGTAATACGCGGACAACATGGTTGCCACTGTAGACACAGACACCAAGTAGGCAATTACGGTCAGGATTCGTATGAATTTTATCTGATGGAAAATCAAGTATGTACGCCGATTAGTATGCTGTAATCTCAACATTTTATGAAAAATCTAAACAATATAGTATATATACCAAGGTTAGTTAGTTCGTTAGTTAGATATACTATAGGTATTCGATAAATCTTAACGTTATAATGTTTTACAACATAATAATTATGTATGTTAATTTTATTTCAACATGGTAATTTACTAAAACGTAATAAATTAAAATAGTATAAGCATAATATAGTAATATTATAGTCATCAATAAATATTTATTTAACGTGTATTAATGTCATATGATTATGCATATGCATATAATTAATGCAAAATAAATCCTTATATCAGTGCCTGCACTTTAAATCTGACTACATTAAGTGTTATTGCGAAGTGAAATTTTGAAATGAAAATGTGTGTTAATATTTAACAAAAAGAAATAATATTACGGCGTCTGATAAATCGAAATAAGAATATTTTACACTAGCATATGTTGACTAAAATCCATTTTATAAGACATAATATTGTCAAATGGACATATTATACCACAAGTAACCAGTTTGTAGGGGATATGATTTATATAGTATGTAATTTAATTGGTCATAGAAATACAAAAACTTATAATTCACGATAACATTAAATCAGTATACGAAATAATAATTTAAGTACTATAATTATACTGATATCTTAAGTGTTAAGTGTTGATTGAAAATAAAACCTAATTAACGTACATCACTGTTTTAAGTTAATCGAAGCGACGAATATATATATATATAATTTCAATGGATATTATTTTGAATAATTAAAATATATCAATGCTAAGGTTTATTGATACAACAAGCATTCTACCAATATTTTATAAACATAAATATACCAAATTGCATTTTAGGTAATTTTTTAATGATTTTATTCTACAAATATTAAATAAATACATACAGGGTACAATGTAGTATAATATAAAAAATTATTATCTAAATTTATGGAACATTATTTTTAATATAAATTATCCAATATATTGTTTTTAAATCGATATGCGTCTACTGCAGTGAACATCTTAACTTTTTCAATTCAGTGGGTGGTTTTTAAAATTTCAATTAATAACAATAGTTACGAACCCTGATAATATATTTTTATTTTACATTAAAATTTAACTAATATAAAATATCTATGAAAAGAACAATATATACACACGCGCACATAAAACACACACGCACGCACACACACACACACACACACATGCATACATCCACATAAAAATATTTAATGTTATAATGTTCCTAATAATTAGGTAATTATTACCTTTTTTTCTTTATTTTGTATCAATATTTGTTGTTTTCTGATGTCTTCTTGTGATGTCGTCTCTTCTTGATCAACGTCCATTATTGGGTTAATATACAGTTATTATCAAGAACACAAAAATAATGCAATAATGCTATTTACATAAGTAAATAATTTATTTAGGAAAAATAAAAATGTTTCAATGTAAAAATATTGACAGAGGGATGGTAGCAAACTTCCTAGTGAAGACTCACTATTCAATTAGATTAAAAAAAAAGGTACCCGACCCGGTATTCTACGGGATTTAAAAGCGCATGACCCTTATATAATAGTTGAAGCCATTATTAGTAAGCTACTTAATTCAATCCTTTCGACTTGGCTACAAAGACACGAAACGGCCAACTTTTATGTTTTATTAACTTTTACCTTATATAAAAAAAAAAAAACAACATCGATACTAATTATATAAAATATAAAATATCTTTAAATCTAAAAAAAAGAGGTTTAAAGTAATTGAAATGTATTGATGTTTTTATTGGCATATTGGACTTAGAAAATTAAAATTACCTTAATATTATACATTGGAAAAATTATCGGTGTCGTATAAAATTTTATTTACGATGTCTTAATGAAAAAATAAATAAATATAATGAATTGTTCCATATATAATAAAATATGCATTATGTGAAAAGTTTCTAAAATTTTAAGCTTTTATTACACACCTATTTCTAAAAATTATTTTATATTAACATTTATTTTACATAATAATAATAAATGTAATAATTTAATAATTATATTTTATTCTTCATAAAATTGTCGATAGTGTACGTTGCACTAACTAATCATACAAATTGTTTTTGAAGTGATTATAATAAGTGTTTACTTGCGACGAAATCTTAAAATCATTCTCCAAAAACGTATAAGTAAATAAAAATCAATAAAACTCATGTGTATCATATAAAAATAAACGATATACTTTAATACATATATAATAATTTTGGAAGAAGAAATATCGGTTTTATGTTACCATAATTGTCTTAAATCAATTCAATTCTCATTGCTATTACTGAAGGGGTGAGTCAAATGTATCATAAAATTCAGTGACATAATATTTTTTTTTCATACAGACCACTTGTTATAAAATTATGATTATAAATGTGATAAAATCGTTGGGCTATTTTTTATTACCCAATCATCATTAATGGTAGATTTAATGAATTTTTTTTCATATAAATCGACAGTCTCTATAAATTACATTGCTTTGTTAAATTATTTTCAATATTAGTTATTTTTTATAATTTTAAAATAATATAACGTACTAAAATATATTTTATATTAGGTATGACAAATTTTTGTATAACGTTTACTTGAATAGTAAATAAGTATGTCGGCTACAAAAAGTAAATAATCTGTAATAAGAATTTACATATTCTAATAACCGATACACAAGGTAATAGTTATTTATTTTCATTAAATTACTATTCAATTTTGCAAAAATATGACGGAAAAATTTTACTTAGCACATTAGTTACTTGTATTAAAATTACCTATTTTTATGAACATAATTATTTAAGTTTCTACCAGAAGTTTCGCTAGTTAAATTAATATTTGATTGATAAAATATAGACCAATTATATAATTTAATAAATTTTAATTTTCTTATAGTAATTAGCATAATGCTTTTTTATGGCCAAAAAATTAACAAGGAATTTAACTCTGCATAAAAAATAATTGATTGTGCTTATAAGTTTAAAGTAATGCAACAATGTTTTATAATGAAATCTTTGAATATTTTAGATCAATTAATATTCAAAAATATAACTTTTAATTAATCACTGAATCTGTAAAACAAATTGTAATATATTCGAATAAGAATTTTACCTCGTATATTCTATCGCTATCAATTACTATTAACTAGCTTATTAATTGTATTATATAAAAAGAGGGATGATTTTTTTTATATGATTTTCTTACCATATTACTTACATTTCTTTTCATTCTATTTACTTCATACTTACACTTAGTTACGAATAGACATATTTTCTTAAATACCTAACTTAAAAGGAGTATAGATAATATTTGTATAATAATATTATAATTGATGGTATGAAAAATATTGTGTAAAATAAACTAATATAATACGTGAGACTCAATCTCATTCATTTATAAAAATAAATGTTTAAATCAATAAATTTGTATATTCATTAAAATTAAGTAAATTAGTTTTATACAATATAATAAATTAAATATTTAGTTAATTAACATGAGCATTGATAGTGTCTACGATAATATCAATTCCTTCGCGTAATTGAGTTTCCTTAATTATTAATGCTGGTGAGAATCTCAATGCACTTGCCCCAATAGGTTTGGTTATCATGCCATTGGATTTCAGTTCATTGTTTAATTTGTATATGTTCTTCACAGCACCTGAAGAAATAGCAAAACATAACTATTCAAATATCATATATTTTGATAGAAAAATATCTATTAATTATTTAAATGGAAAGTTTAAATAATGTTTCTAACTATCGATAAATTGTATTTATTCTTATGTATTCTCACTGTTCCATAAAAAATGTAATATTACATATGTTCATAAGAATAATACACGTACTTACTACTAACACTAATAATACATCAAATAAATAACAAACAAATCTGTCTATCTTGTTACAAAAAATAACGTTTAATAATTATTTCGATCCGAATATTTATTTTATTTTCGTATGTGAAAACAAAATACCATAATTGTATTTACTTTGTCATGAAAACAATTTTAAATTATTAATTATCTGACGAATCAAAGCTATTAGTTTTAACTAAATCAGGTAACAAACGTTTATTTTTTGTTTACCAAATAATTATGTTGAATGTATTTAAATTAAATTATTTATTTGATGAATGGCATTTTGCAATTTAAAAACTGTTTGAAAAAGTTTATGGGAAGAATTTTTCAACGTTCGTGTGCATTTTACTGTTTTCAAGACCCGTATAAAAACAATTTGTAGGACTATTTGAAAAAATAGCTTGAAAAAAATGCTTAATTCGCCATGTTTTGGTTTTAAATTTTTAATTAATAAAGTAAATTGTTTATTTTGTATCATAATGGAACTCAAACATTTTAAACAATACAATTTTTTCTAATTTTTAAATAGACATTGAAAAACCGAAAATGTGGATTTAGAATATGATTCAATAAATGATTTTAATATCCATAAATATATATATTTTGGCAACTATTCACGTAGGTGGTTTCATTCAAATTCAAATTGCATAATATGAAAACATTGAAAAAATGGTTTGACATTATTAATACATCGTGTGAAACTGAGAAAGTGAAGAATATCAATTTCATTGAGTGAATAAATAACTTTTCCATGATGTTATTGCGTAACTATTATCAGAAAACTCGATCAATGAATGCTATACTCGAGTTATCCATACTTTCTAATAAATGTTTTTTTAAATTCTATTTTAACTACTTGTCTTTTACTTGATTGTACTGTTCGTTCATAACTATACTCTCAAACTCTGATTGAATACCAAGGGGCACTGTCGTTAGTTGCATATTGTTAACAAAATAACAAAATTATTGTCTGTACACAGTCGCCCGTTACGGTAATGATACAACACCGATGATATTAATAGGCAGGTGCCTGTTAGAGATCTGCACGGGCCGATCCGGTTCTAAACTTGCAAAATGCCCACACCCAGACTCCGTCCTTAATATTTTTTTGTAGTTCAACCTACTCAGGTCCATTCGTAATATTTATTATCTGTTTTTTTTTATCAGTGATCCATTTATAAATATCTTGTAAACTAATAATATGTGTTTAAACATTTTTTTATTTAACGCCAATAATTAGCATTAGTATTGTACTCTTGTAATATAATATGAACAATGTTATGAGTTAAAATGTCTGCATGATATTGATAATGACTACTATCAGTGAGTAGAGTAGTAAGGTAAAAAAAATTATTTTTTGTGAATACCGATCATAACGTATTAACAATTAAATTAGGTAATTTTATTTTTGATCGGTCCGATCCAAAAATATAATACGATCTCACCCATAACCAAACCGCAATATTTATATTATGGCACGGCCCAATCCGTGTCTGGACTGGCCTGACTCGTGCAGATCTCTAGTGTCTATCACAGGTGTAGTTTTGGATCGCACCGTCATAAGATAAAACAGATTACGTACTTGGGTTCAAAACGATAGCGTTTAGCAGACCTCTGCCTCTCACTTGGACCATCTTTTCCTTGTCCAAACGAGCCGTGAGCTCGGACCTGAAGATCTCGCCCATTTTGAACGAGTTTTCGACCAACCCGTCGTTTATGATGACATCGAGCGCAGCCATGGCTACCTTGCACGCCAATGCGTTTCCGCCGTACGTGGATCCGTGCGTGCCGGGGGTGAGAACATCCATTATCTCGCTGTTGGCCAACACGGCGGAGATCTGTTCGCACGACATAAAAAGTACGTTTTTATTCCTTCCGTTCCTTGACGAACGTTTTTCACATATCGCAACGCGCGCGCAAGTGTTGCGTTCTACCACTAACCGGGTACACTCCGCCGGACAACGCTTTTCCAAGGATCAAAAGATCAGGTTTGACGTCCTCGTAATCGACTGCCAACATTTTACCGGTTCTGCCTAACCCGGCTTGGACTTCGTCGTCGATCCACAGAACGTTGTACTTGGTGCACAATTCACGAACTCCTTTCAAGTATCCCATTGAAGGTACCACGGCCCCCGCTTCGCCTTGTAACGGTTCTACCATGAATGCGCACACGTTGGGGTTCCTCAGTGCTTGCTATTTAAATGATTACGATTTTACGACACGATAACACTATAAAATTCGACTACATAATACGTGATAAATTTTTCCAGAACCATGCATAATTAAATAGTTATCATTATTATGACTGCGCAATGAAAATATAAATTATTCGTAAACGAAATTTTAAGCCGATTGAACTAATTAATTTGTTTGATCGAATATAAGAATTTTTGGAAATTAGTGTGATTTTCAATTCAATTGTTTTGATCTGGACTACATCAATAGTTATTGAAATGAATGTCTTTTATATCTTTTTTTTTTTATAAGACTATTAATTAATGGGTTGCTTAATGTTTATAATTAATCTTAATGAATTATTTTTTGTCTTTTAGAGTGATGTTCTATACAAATTATTTTTCATTAATTGTGTACTGAATAATTATATTCATAATAATAATTTTATTCCTTGAATAAAAATTAGGAAAAATAAGTCAAATATACTTATTAATTTCATTTTAACACTAACTTCAAGTTTTCCCAAATCATCATAAGGCACAATTTGGTAACCAGGAACATGAGGTCCAAATTCATCGAAAGAATTTGGATCCGTGGATGCAGAAATGGCAGCAATAGTACGTCCCCAGAAGTTAGCATGGGCAAACACAACTTGGGCTTGGTTGCTCGGAATTTTTTTCACTCTGTAGCCCCATTTTCTTGCTATTTTAATACTGGATTCTCCGCCTTCCACGCCTATAAATAAAACATTATGATTAGTAAACTTGAATTTTAATTGTATTGAATTGTAGTAATATACATTATATTCATACACAATTATTGTACAGTTAATTATCTTTATTGCTCTTACCCGTATTCATATTCAAAACTTTGTCGTATCCAAATTGATTGCTCAAAAACTCATTAAGTTCATATAAAGCGTCGTGAAATATGGCTCTGGATGTGTGATGGAGCTTACCTACCTGATCCGTTAAGGCTTTAATAATTTTTGGATGACAATGTCCCTGATTGAGAGTAGCGAATCCTCCCACAAAATCATAATACTTTTTACCTTCAACGTCCCACATAAAAATACCTATAAACAGGAAAATCCAATTGAATAACCATTTAAAATAAATAAATCAGTATTTTATTATTGTAAAGTATTTTTTTTTTTGTCTTACGACTTATATATCAACCCTCCGAGTAAGTAATTACCTTCTCCTCTGCTAATGACCACGGGAGAAGGATCATAATTGTTTGCTGACACTTTTTTTTCTCGTTGGATAACTTCAGCGGATGATTTAGCTGGAATGAATGAGCTCAACCGTGTGACACTGCCATTATTGAAAAGTCTTGTGTACTTGAGTAACTGAGAAGAACGATTTTGCAGAACCGACATTGTGTTGTAATATCAAAGAACATATCTAAAAATAATAAATGTTCACGTTATACATATAGATATCATTTATAATTATTAAATAAGTAGTAATATAATTTTTCAAAAGTAAAAAAAAAAGGTTATGCACCATAGGTGTTACACAAATTTACTTCTAATTAATAAGACAAAATAAAAATCTGTTTGAATTATAAAGAGTTTACATAATATGTTCACAGTTCACTCAAATATAATTATTGAATAACCTAACCCTATATAAATGAGTGTAAGATTTCTTATAAAGAATTATATTACAAGTAGGAAAATGTTATATTGAAAAAACCTAGATTGTATCAAACGTATACGATAAAATTATTTGATGTTACACTCTTAATAGCTAAATTGAAAACCTGTATTCATAAGACGATAAATTATTATTTATAAATGTGAATCAAAGTTTTATTTTGAACTGAATATTTATAAAAAATAAAAATTATACTTAACAATAAATCAAAGTCGATTTTGAACAAGCTCAGTTCAGCTATATTGTATGGCAGTTACTGAATAATATAACTAGAATATATACTAATGTAATATCTTAATTCGTATTACTTTTTCTAATGGTTCTGATATCGTATTATGACAAACCAATAATTATGAAGCCTTTGTTGACCTTGGATAAGATTAATATTACTTCTCTATTCAATTTGTAAAAATTATATCGAGTGGGGATAACACATCTCATGGCTGATTTTAGAAACATTTACATATTATACTGCTTAAACATAATAAATTGCATAAGAATGATTTTTGAAAGCATAACTACACATTATTAATTTAAAAAAAAAATGCTCTGTAATAATTATGCAATTTTATGGCATATTTATTAGGTCAGCTAAGGGGTGTAATTGTTATTAAAATGTTGGAAAAATATACCATATATTAATACATTTTTAATTATTTGATTTAGCTAGCTTCTATTTAGGCATAAAAACCCATGTAAGGTTTTTTCGTTCATAATACAAACGTAAACATAAATCATATTCTAAGTTTGATCATTTGTATATTAATATGTGAAATACACAATACTAATCTCTCTAAAAGGAATATCCTGAATACGATATTGCAGTGATTATATCATATGTTAAACAACCAATATAAACATACATAATAAAACATATTCAGTATTTTCAATAATTATTGTTTATATAATCAATGTAATATTTTATCAGCGCAACGTTACTATACTTTTTAGCAGTTTATAGTACATGTTTATGACGTATGTAGGTTTATGAAAATCGTTCATTTATATTTTATTCACAACATCAAGAATAGTTTTATCAAAGGTCAATAACAACAATAATGTTAATTTTAAATATGGGCCAAAATTAAATTATTTAGATAACAAATATTTACAAGGCGATTTAAAAAAAACGTTATTAAGAAAACACTATGTCCAATGAAATAATTTAAGAATACTAAAACTTTTTAATAACGATTAAATAATTAAATTAATGATACAAATTAATAGAAAATAACTTTATATAAGATAAAATGAATTCACTAATTAAATCGTTCAATTTATCTACATATATATAATATACATTTATAATACTTTATATTGTATGCAATGATAACTAAATTAATATAATAAATTATTTAATAACACATTTTTGATAAATGCATTATTTCAACTAAGTAATAAGCAGCTATAAAAAGAAACAATTATAAAAATAATTTGGAAAAAATGTCAAAATTTCTCTTACTAAAAGAAACATGAAATATTGTGTATTTATTGTAGTTAGGTTATAATAATTACAAATTCTACATTATAAAAGATGAAATAATGGCCATTGTTATTAAATAATCAGTTGCAGTTCAAATTTAAAACGTTCCAAACTGATTTTCAAATTATAAAATACTTCTTATGATAATAACATTGGGTTATTAACGCAATCAATTATTAAATATCTCTCGCAATTTTATTTGATTTCTAAAAAAAATGTATCAATAAAAAATATATTTTTAAATAAAAATAATGAGGAAAATACTGATCAAATTTAATTATTATATTTTTTAAATACTTTTTAACTCAAATTATTTATCTAATTGATATTCCCCAGAAACTTATAATGCAATTTATAAAAACAAAAAAGGTTTCATTTTAAAACTTAAATAGTACATTCCTATCAGAACGAAAAAATATGTTACTTATATAATTTAACTGAAAGCAAATTATTTTAATGGAAACTTTTTTCCACGTGTGGTGTTTGGGATAAAGAAGGAGGTATATTCACTCTAATTGGCAAACACCAGTACAGAGGAATAATAATTTATTGATTCAAATATCACGAGGTAATATTTTTCCATCATCCAAGTAAATATATTCACATATTTTTATAATGCATTTATAGTAATTTGCAAAATATTATCATAGCGTGAACAATTTTCTTTTTTTTTTTTTTTTTTTTTAATGTGTTCCTACATTTTTAAAATATAAAAACACATTAATAAATTATTCGTGTTATTTTACAGTTCAAAATTTGAATTATATAAACTAGGTTAATAATTATTTTAACTCTTTAACGGATTAAAAGTTATTTTTTTATATATACGTAAAATAAATAATCTCGGTACAAATATTTTTTAAAATATCATAAAAACTTCACTAGTATGATTTAAAAGACACCTTTATTACTTAAAAAAATATTTAAATAGTAACATTAATATTTTTTAAACAAATCGTTTATTGTTTTTACTCAAAATTAATTAAAATCGCTGAATAATTATGAGTTCAACAAAAATACTTAGTTTTATTTAAACAATTAGTTTTAATTTTACTTACTATTTCATAATGTTGTTGCATAATTTACTAACATTGTTATTTTTTTCATTCCACACAGTATTTTTTCTACTAAATTAAACATAGAAAACCAGTCACTACTAAAAATACAAATGATCTCAAAACTTTGATTTTGAATATTCATTTAATTGTGTTTATCGTAATGTGTTTAATCATATATGATATTTATGCGCAAAACTCACTGCAATATTGTACATTTTAATTGTAAATTATTTAAATTTGTTTATATGTTGTAATGATTAATTTAAGCAAAAACTAAATATTCGTAGATCAATTAATCATATTTGTAAAAATTTACATCTTCCTAACTCATTCTAAATAAATATTTTATTAGATATATAAATAACTAAGATTTCAATTGAAAAGCAATGAAGTAGGTGGGTAGTAATATGAATATAATTTACATTTGTATATATATATAAATTGTTGATAAATAGAAATAAATAAATAAATGCTTAATCTGGAATATTATTATATTAGTAATATACCTCGACGAGTATTATAATTAAAAATTCATCATCAGGTGTGTACATAGTCAATAAATATGCTAGTCAGTTATTAAAACTATTATAACTATTATAATTAAATATTATTGTACTTACATAATAATTTGTAAAACTCCAAAAATATCATACAGCTACAAACTGTTACTCACTTAAGGAATGTAGCATATAATGTAAACGAAATTATGTATTTAGAGTAATTTATAGGTAGATACTAGTTCATAAATATGTATTTATAATAAGAATTTATCCGCAAACGTTATCTTATCGTGTTATTTTGTTTTTTAGAAAATCGCTTTATTTTCCACGTGCTACGAGTATGTTATACATACGTATACATACTGATAATTACGTCCAGTATCATATTTCAATAACAATGAAAATATTGAACCTGTTATTAATATTATAATCCCAACCGTCCCTTCAATGTTACAACAAAATAATGATATCATGACCCATATAGATGTTCAACACTAAATGTTGTTTTTTAAAAGAAAATTATATTAATAATAATATCGTTTTCATCTAACTATTTTATAAAATAATTGTTGTCGTGAACGAGTGGCTAGTGTAGAAATAAATTGCTTATGATAGAAGGTTCAAAGCCCATATGACAGTTAAGTAGCGCATACAGGTTTATTTTTTCATTTTAATTACAACGGTTATTGACGGTTGATTTTAACATTGAATATTACGTATGCTCAATTACAGTATACGCGTTGCTTATCAATATGTTTATCTATTTTCGTTTATTATTAAATGATAGCATTTTGTTAAATTAATTTTACACGTCAGTCATGTAATGAAATTAATTAGTATATTTATCTATTTAAATCATATAATATTATTATTCTTAATAACTATACAAATCGATATTTCACATTGAAGCACATAATATAACATATTTGTATATGTTACAGTTAAAGTATTGGATCAGTTAGTTTACGAAATAACTAGATAATTTATAAAATAACAAACTTGTAGGTAATGTATATAATTTATACTTTAACTAGTTATTTTATACATTTCCTGGCGTCACTTCGTTAATGTGTCAAATTTATACATTCGTGCATGTACAATATCGTTATTTTACTGGTCATCATAGCAATAAATTAGATAAAACTGATGTTCTTGTTAGCGGTGACTGCAGTGTTCATGTACGTTTATCGTGTTAGATAAAATTATCGTTGTACATATATTATTATTAAGATGGTCAATAAAATTGGTAAGGTTTAAAGTTTAGTTATAGTCACACGCGATCAGTGTTGGTTCGTCTGTCTTTACAATAGCCTTGCATGTACAAATAAATAATCAATTGAGTTTAAAATAAATAAAATGCTATAATATATGTATATTTTAAATTTTAATGTATTTTATACATTAACATATATCAAACTAAAATTATATAGAGTAACCAGATATTCTATGAAATAACGGAATTCAATACTTTAACTGTGACATATACATATTTACATTTATATTACAGTAAAGATATTTTTAAAACAGTAAGTAAAAATTTATAGGAAATGTAATTGAAAAATATGTATTTTGTTTAAAAATATATACCTATAGTTTATCAATTCGTTATCATTTGTGTTTGAATTGAAAAAAAAGATGAAACTCCTAGGTCAGGTGTGTTACAGGAATAGATAAATTAAATTGCTATATTGGTCTGTATAAAACTTGAAACCAATGTACCGTTGCTCTCGAAAAAACGATTCCTAGTGAAAAAGGTCAGTTGGATCAGTTTATATTTCTAGAAATGAGTAAAACAAGAACCAAATTTCTTAATAAGGTGGGTTGAATTAAAAAAAAAAAAAAAACATTTCAAAGTTGGGTAAATTAAGTGCACAAACTTAATAATATACTTCGAGACTAAAAAATGTCTAATACCGTTTGATGTAATTCGTTGAAATATCCGAATTCATTAAATTTTAATTTTGCTAATACAACATTTTTGTGACATTCCAATAATATTATTATTTTTAATTACAAAGGAAATCTTCTAAAATATGTAACTAATTTTCAAATTTAAAATTCTTATTAATTAAAAAAAAAAAAAAAATGTAAACGATTTTCATAATTTTTATCACTTTGTCAATATTTAATATTCAAAGGCTTTTAAAATTGTTCCATGTAATTAAACTACCTAATTATTATTATAGAATTTGGTATTGAATTATATTACATAAAAATTGTTTTATCAAAATTTTCGAAAATATGAAACACTAAAATTTCTATTTAA